CACCCAAAAACTGTCAATTTTCTGTACGATTTTAACTTAATATGATGATTAAAAATATTCTTAGCCAAAAATATTGGAATTCGCGTTGCTGAGTGATCTGATAAGTAACATTAAGATATTTTCGAATGAAGTGACTGTACAGAATCAATCACGTTTCATTCTTAATTTTTAAGTTAAGATGTTTCTAGAATTTCCAAAATGATTTTATTGCAAGGTATAAAAATCCAGTATTTAATGCTTTAATACTAAATTTGATACCAAATCTAAGGAGACATCTTAACAACGAATCTTCTAATGTCGTCTACGCAATAGAATATACCATTTGTAAGCTGATTTACGTTAAGGTTTCACTTGATAAAAGACTATGAAGGCAAAGATTTCAACAGATTAACAACAGATGTAAATTAAGACCTTTATATTCGTTTAATCATCTTGTCAAATTTACCTTATCATTCTACTGTGTCAATGAAAGTTAAATCTCTATGAATGATTTATTATTATACTAGGAGTCAATCATTATGTATACACCAATCCGTGAAAAAAGAATAATACTGGATTAAGAGACCGGACACCACCTTTCATAGGAAAGCAATGGCATTTTCTTTAGTGAAATATATTGAGATAACTAACAGTATTCAAGTTCAGAAGTCCATTCAAACAATACAAATAACACGGATCCTCGGTGTGTAAATAATGGCTTAACAACGAACATGAAAAACGCTAGTCAGCATTTAACTTTATGATAGATTGTATTTGTTAATGAGGTCATTAAATTGATAACTGTTGATATTCCCGTTTTATCATCTTGTTTGTCAATAACTTACCTCGTTTAAGAAATTGTTCATACAAAGAACATGTTCTTGCGTATCAAATCAATTGAGAGTGTAAATCATATTAAGATACTTAAATATTCCATTTTTTGTGGAAATTTTGACATCACAAAATTTTATCAAAATTAATATCATAAAATCATGACTTTTCAACTTTATATACAACCATTCCCCATGATAAATGAAAGTCTAGGCTTTTTGATATTATCAACAACTGGTTTTTTTTTCTCAATAAAAATGAAACTCATAGTTTGACTTACCTTTTCATTGGTCATTTGAAATTTTATTTTGTTTTAAAGGCATTCTGATTGTATTCATAAGTACTATAAAGTTGATATTTGAAAAGATGCATTAGTGTCTTATTGACAATTTTATTTGTTTTTGGTTTTTTTTTTAAATATTTGTTTTTTGAGATCAATATCTTCTAATAATCTGGTGGGTATTCCCATGGGCTCAAATTGTGCCACGTTATTAGCACATCAGAATTCATTCAAATCTAATACATGAGAAGAAGGAAATACTTGCTATGGCTCTCGCTTCCACATTTAGATTTAAAGACATATTATCAATTAACAATAGTTGTTTCCATTTATATGTCGACACGAAATATCTCAGTGAGCTGAAATAAAAAAAAACAACACCGAGTCTGACACAACCGTTTCATATTTGGATAATTTTCTGGGAAAAGACGTTCATGATAACCTCACAATAAATCTTTATGAAAAACGTGATGACTTTAACTTTTCTATGGCAATTCCCCATATTTATGTATGTATTTACCCTTATCGCCTCCATAAGGATTTTATGTTTCCCAACGAAAGACCATGCACAATCGATAAAAACTTTCCAAGACGAGGCAATCTATTAAAACTAGGTTGAAGACACAACAATATCATCAGTTTTGCCTTTACAAAAGGTATCGTCAATATAATGTCTTTGTTATTAAATGCAATACATCGTTGGATCGAATGTTGACTGAAGTTTTTAATAGAAATCAATTGTCCATTATTACACGCTGGAATTTCTGAAGATAATCCGTTTGCCCAATCATTACAAGGAGCATATTGTGAGTGTGACCAGTTGGAAGGGAATGCTTACTCCCTATTGGCACCTGATCCCCCTCTGATGTTTGAGTGGTCAGTGTTTGCCCTGCTCCCGATTTGTATTGTTTCAATGAACTTTTTAGCTTGCTAACTGTTCGTTATCTACAAACCCATTATAATATCACAGTTGCAATCAGGAGTTGAAATGTCTGTCTTTTGAAATATGATAAATTATATTATCTTATTTGCTGACATCACTTTTTTTGTTTTACAAAATTTCGCCGATCTTGAGAGAAATCCGGTAAATAATCTGATGGAATGTCAAAAAATAAAACCACAAGAAATAAAAGGAATGACAGGAATTCTAAAGGCCTGGCTCTCATTGATAAGGCACCACCTACAAATATAAATATATGTGTCATTATACATTTACGTGTATATTAAATATACCGGTATATAAATACAAATATTTCAGACTTTTTTTTACCGATTTTCCTTTTTGTGCCGTCTTATTACTTTACAATTGTCTTTATTTCTCAGATTTGACCAGTTCAGATAAATCTTACATTTCCAATGTAAAATACGCCGACAAAAAAATGAAAATATCCTATGCTTTCACCATCCCAATACCAAAAGGTTTTTTTTAAATATATATTATCAGTATCACAGGGTAGTCTAATAAACAACAAGATGTGTTTGTGAAACCCTGATGCCCCTGTATGGCAGCATATGGCGAAGTTGAAGTTTCTCAAATGCAAGTCAAACTCCAAGGTCAAAATTATTGGTATCTAAACGAAGGTCGTGTAATTAGGAATACATTTGTGAAATATGAAAGCCCAAGTACTACATGTTCAAAGTTGTAGTCAATGTGAAAAAAAAATTTAACAGGAGGTCAAACTCTTTAGTCAAGGTCAAAAATATTTCTACCCATTGAAAGACATTGTCACAATGAATACAAATATGAAGTATGAAGGCCCTAGCACCAACTGTTCAAAATTTAGAGCGAATGTTATAGTTTGGATTTTTTTTTTGTAAAAGTTGGTCAAACTTCAAGGTCAAGGTCAAGAGATTAAATTTGGTGGTATGCAAAGAAAGATCTTGACACAAGGAATGTTGAATATGAAAGCCATAGCCCCACCCACTCAAAAGTTATAGACAAGGTTAAAGATTTGCGGACAGACAGAGGGACGGACAAGGCAAAACTATATACCCCCGAATCTTCGATTACAGGGGAAATAAAAATGTACAAAGGCAATGTAAGATTCGCAACACAACTACCTGTGATCTATTTGAGTAAAATAATGAAATCAGAGTTGCTCTTCTTTTCTCTCTCATATATTCATTGCACATTTGTACAAGGTACAATGAATAGAACTGGCTTACTTTGCATATATCAGATTACTTTTTACGAAAACTTCCTACTTTAGGTTATTATTTCCTTAAATGTACAGTCTGGTCAACAGCAAGCCTGGGTGAAAACAAGAGCACGCTAAACATTGTTCCCAAAATGTACCTATAAGAATAAAAACTCATTTATAGCTTTAAAAGAAGTTGTGTATGAGTTCTATATGATGAAGATAATATTTACATTTATATGAAATTTACGAGGCGGGTGTTAGTGAACGATATATTTTCATTATTTTTATGCCCTCGTAGTCGAAGATTCGGGGGTATATAGTGTTTGCCCTGTCTGTCTGTTTGTCTGCAAAAACTTCAACCTTGCCCATAACTTTTGAATGGGCGGGACTATGGTTTTCATATTCACAGGTGTATTTGTGACAAAATCTGTCTTTGGGTACAACCAAATTTGACCTCTTAACCATGAAAATGGAGTTCGACCCACTATTACAAAAAATCTAACTTTAAACTTGGCAAACTAGAACAGTTGGTGCTATGGAGGACTGGCTTTCATACATCACATGGGTATTCGTTGTGACAAGAACTTTTAATAGGCATGAATATTTTTACCTTAACCTTAGAGTTTTTATAAACACTTTAATCTTGGCTGTGACATTTAGTACTAGGGCTTTAATTCATATTTCACAGGTGTATTCCCTGTGAACAGACCTTTCTCAGGATACCAACAATTTTGACATTTAACCTTGTATTTTGACTTGTATTTGAAAAAAACTTCAATCTTCGCCATAATCTACCATACGGGCATCAATGTTTCACAATCACATCTTGTTTTTTTAAATTCATTGTCGTGCCTCCTTATGTCACCTCTTGTAAAATTGTAATATAATTCCTTGGTACCACTGGTCAAAAAATAATTAGATTTAACAAACAAAGTGTGATACATAGTTCATGAGTCATGATCAGCTTCAGATTAAAGACCCCCTTTACCTTTGCTACATCTAACGAGCCCATATCCGTGCCCCGTGCAGAGTGGCTCATCCTCCTCTTGTGTCTGAAGCTGTTGGCAAGTGGAATTACGAAGTTCTTGAATTAAAACTATTTCTTTTTGAACGTTGAAAGTGCAGTTCCTTAAAACGCCACTTCTTAAGATATCATTAACTTTATTTCCAACAATGGAAAGCACACTTTTAATTTGTTTGTAATTAGTGGTTTCCTTTTCAAATAAGCAGGCTGCCATTGTAAGAAACCTCCTGAAAGTAAAATTAAGTTAAAGAATTAGGTTTAAAAATATTAAATATTTAAGTTTTTTTAAAACAAATTTTATTTGAAATTAAGAGTAATTCATGATAGGACAATGAGTAAAGATAACTTTAAAAATGAAATTGATAAAAAATGGGAACATCTAAAGGGCCGTTGTCTTTAACATGCAGTTTAGTGCATTCGAGCCGAGAAATTGCCTTGTGGTTATATTGTTGTACTCTGAAAATTGTACAGCTTTTCTTTAAAACAGACACTTGCTGTATTAATTAGAGTGGAACTATTCAAGGAAGATCTACAGGAGATAGGTATTCCAGCCAGTGGTCCCCAGAAACCATGTAATTTTATTCCGCAACTAATTTTCATGTTACAATGTATTAAATGCGTTCGAGACTTGCTGATTTGTTTTTCCTCACTGGGTGTACGATGTTGTTTACTAAACAAGAGAGAGTTCTCGCGTCCTCAGTTATTGCTAGATGAGTCTTACTTACAGACATTGTTCTGTAGAGGGTGGGCTGTCTGCTGATATTGATAACACTTCTGTGTCTACACACTCGAGAGCGGAAGACGGCGTTCCTGTAAATAGATGACAGAAGGAAGTTTATTCTTTTTTTTTTCCTCAATAATCAAATTTCATTAAAATTGAATTTGATATAGAGAAAATTGAGTCATCACCTTGTCATCACCTTGTTCTGTGTCATGGACATTATAATAATCAGTAGTGAACCTTGATCCTCTGCCTATACTTTGAATTAGTTTAAGAAAACAAGATGTCACTTACTTGTATAGATACATGTATCTATGTTTGACTGTTTAATGGGATGAGACTTACCTGTATATATTTACATTTGACTGTTTAGTGGGATGACACTAACCTGTATATATTCACGTTTTACTGTTTAGTGGGATGACACTTACCTGTATATATTTACGTTTAACTGTTTAGTGGGATGACACTAACCTGTATATAATTACGTTTAACTGTTTAGTATGATGACACTAACCTGTATATATTTACGTTTTACTGTTTAGTGTGATGACACTTACCTGTTTATATTTACGTTTTACTGTTTAGTGGGATGACACTAACCTGTATATATTTACGTTTTACTGTTTAGTGGGATGACACTTACCTGTATATATTTACGTTTTACTGTTTAGTGGGATGACACTTACCTGTATATATTTACGTTTTACTGTTTAGTGGGATGACACTTACCTGTATATATTTATGTTTTACTGTTTAGTGGGATGACACTAACCTGTATATATTTACGTTTGA